TTTGAGATGGCTAGGTTGGCACAGGATAGAAGAGTGTATAGAGCTTTTGTACATAGGGTCGCTATGAGTCGCAAGTGACTCGATGGCAGGCACGTTGTTTAGGAAGTTGATGCCACTCCTGCTTCCTTCAAAAAATAATCTATACATATGTAAAATTATATATTCATATGTATTAGAAATATACATACATATACTTAAAATTACATACATACAATTTGGGGATATATATATATATATATATATATACCAATTTCAAAGGAAAAAAAGAATATAACAGGACACTTCTTTAGGCAAGGATTGCAAGGCTTTATTTTTTCACTTTGGACACAACCAGGAAAGACAATCTGTGAAAATAGACATTTACACTGGTTAAGTCCAACCCCAAAAGCCAGTCTCACAGACATCAGGTGGATCCTGGCCATGGCAGCAGCCCTCCATAAATTTCTGAGGCTATAGCTTTTTTTGTGATTGCTTTTAGTTTATGTCTTCTATGAAGTCATTCACAATTACTTTTCTGGTTTCTTGTAGCAATAGGTTAGGCACAGTAAGTGGCTGGTGATAAAAATTCCAGCACAAGTTATTCCCAAGGAAGGTGATTCTCTTCCACTTTGTGCTATTTCCTCATGGGAGGAAAATGACTGTCTCACAGGAAGCACATCATGGATTTGAAATGCTAACCTTTCAGTAAGCAGCACTAAGTCATTCATCACGCCACCCGTGCTCCTTTAGTAGAAACTTCGTTGTCACTCATGTCATTAATCTGGACCAGAGCATTGATGCCTGTTTGGTTTCTGAGGCTATAAATTACAGAGGAGACTATCCATTTCCTCCTGGTATAGATGCCGGTGGGTTCCAAGGCCAGAGAGGCTTCACAGTATCACTCCCAGCACAAACGCACTTGTTGCTGTGTACTGTAGAGTAGGAACTGACCCACAGCTGACCCTCCGGCAAGTTTTCAGAGGCAGTTCATCTATCACGTGGGAGGAGATTGCTCATCATTCTCCCATGGAGCAGGTGGTGGCTTCGAAACACATGCCTTCGGGATTGCAGCTTCTTGTCTTTAGGCCACCAGAGCTTCCTATGCCACTAGAACTCCATTTTGGTAAAGGAACCTTAAAAAAAGGAAATGCTGACACGAGTTTGCCAGTAAGGAACCATGGCGGGCCCAACATTCATGGTGAATTGATACTCCTTACTATTCCGCAGGAACTCCACGTTGGCCCTCACCATCACCGTGGGTGTCCTGTTCTTCCAGCGGGCGTTCAATCAGGGAGCGGATATGATCTACGAGCATATCAAAGAAGGGAAGCTGTGGAAACACATCAAGCACAAGTACCAGACCCAAGAGTAGTTCCCCAGCAGCCTCCATCCAGGCAAAAAGGACCAGGCCCACCCACTGGCTCTTGTCCAAAGTCAAGGCATCAGCTTGAAGATGATGCTTCAGTTATTCTTCATGGACCACCTTTACCTACTGGCAAGAAATGGCTTCCCTAACAGACTCTAACTTCTGTTAGTTTTGACATATGTCTCGTCAGAATCATCAGCAAATAAATGTCAATTGTCCTTGGGAGAAAAAAAAAAGGAAATGCTCCACAAAGAGGATTAGCACAGCAGCCAAGCTATAAATCAAGCACATCAGCAGTTGTTGAAGACAGGGCTAGACCTGCAATGCTGCTTCATTATATGGTCACTGAGCTGGAGACGAGGCAGATGTGGAAAAACAAACAAGCAGGAAAGAGACGGAGGAAGGCACCAGCTTCAAGCTTGAGAATGGATGTTTCCTAGTCGCCATCGAGTTGTGTGGAGGCAGAGACACAGGTGCATTCAAGATCCCGTTCCACGTGTAAACCACTGCCATGACAGTGGAAGGCATTGCTGCTTAAGATGTAATAGACGTTAATACCCCTTAACAAAAGGTGCTAAAGGCTGCCCTCATACATGGCGACCTAGCACGTGGAATCTGTCAAAGCCTCAGATGAGCGCCAAGCCCATATGTGTGCTTACATCTAACTGGAACGAGCCTGTGCACACCCAGTTAGTAGAGTTCTTCTGTGCTCAACCACCAAGTCAACCTGACCAAGGTTGACAAGAAACTGGGGAGTTGAGAGGCCTGCACAAAACTGACCAAGAAGGAAAGCTCCACAAAGTGGTCACTGCAGTTACATTTTTGTTAAGGACGATCGCAAAGAATCCCAGGCAAAGGATGTCATTGAAGAGAATTTCAAATGCCAGAAATGAAACCAATAAAGAACTCTGCAAAGCCCAGAGTCATTCCTTTCTTGGTATTTTTTTCAGGAAGAAACTGCAACTGCTGAGAATAGGGACCATGAGACAGGGAACCACTTGCAGAAGGCAGACTGTCTCCACTGCTGAGTTAAGGGCTGGGATTGTATGTCTGGCTGGATTTCAACAGTTCCAATGATCAGTGTCTACTTGGAGCCTCTCTGCTTTTGAGGGAACATTCCCTGAAGCTGTCGTGTGCTTTACCCTTGGCTGCTGTACAGGGCAGATAATGCTCCTGTCTCTACCTCTCTCACCAGCACCTGGTCAGTGTGCTCCCTGTATACCCTCAGGACCTGGACATCTCAGGCTGTGAGTGGATGCTGGGTTTGGTGACATATTGGTCATTGGGCCTTCAAAAGAACAATTAGGGGGAGCAAGTCACCCCGGGATGGTGAGCTAGGCAAAATGGGCCCTAAGGTGTGATACCTTCACCCCTAAAACATGGAGTTCCATGGTAGCTGTAATGAAGATTGACCATTCGTGATCTTAAGAAAGAAATCTGAAGCTATTGGCTTTGTGCCAGTGGGAATCATATGAGTGCCTAAAAGCAGACAACTTTCCAACTGAAGGCAGGAGATCTGGAGCTCAGGAGGGTTTGTCCTGCTCACTTTGTGGATGAAGGCAGCACAGGGGGCGAAGTCCACAGTGAGCCTGGAGGCAGCCTGTCCTGAGCCCTCTCAGCTTCAGCCAGCAGCACAGCAAGTCATGAATGACTCAGAGAGGATGAGGCAGTGGCTGGGGGCTGTGTAGGGGAGAGTTTTTTTTGGTGTTTTTGTTTTGTTGTTGTTGGTTTGTTTTTTTAATTTTTGTGCCATTAATGAATTATTTATTGCAAATACCTTTTGAAAGAAAATACAAGTGGTGACGTTTTTGAGAGGCACCGGATGAAGGATGCTGGTGGTGCAGTCCATAGGGAGTTTCACCACTAATATAAAGGCCAAACCTCTCTAGTGTTCAAATCCAGCAGTTGCTTCTCAAGAGAAAGATTGGCAATCAATCTCCTCTCCTGAGATTTGAGTTTTAAAAGCTGCTGGAGGGTCAGCTCTGAGACCATTCTGACTCCACAGCATTGAGTTTAGTTGAGGTGAGCAACGGACACTATTCCTCTCATCCTTAAAGGCTACACATGCTTTTCATACTTGGGGGCTGAACTGAGACTTGGGAGAACAAGGGACTCACCCAGAGGAATCCAGGTGTGGGCCCTATGCACCCACCTGTGACCTCAAGGTCTCTCCACTTGACAACCAGTTCTGACAAGCTGAAAGCAACAGATTAGAGTCCTCAAGAGCACCTTAAGCCATTGCTGTGTCAGGTGTGTGGCACAGTGAACGCTCTTGAGCATCCCAGGGGCAGGGCTCCAAGAGTCCCTAACTGAGCCTATTCCCAGGGCTTCCCCGAATACCCTCCAGACAGACACTTGCATTGGAACCAGATTCAAGGCAAATCCAAGCCAGGGCACCAGTGGCCCTGGCTGTCCCACAAGAGCTCCACCAAGAGAGACTGTCTGGACATCAGGGCATCCTTACTGGGCACCTGGATAGTAAGGCTCAGCCTTGAACCCAGACAAGCCCAGCAGCCCCACCTCACTCCCATCAGGCCTGGTTCAGCCGCTGGCCAGAACCAAAGCTGGCCACTGTTCCTGCTTCTGGAAGGACTTGGACACCGAGACTCTTCTCCAGTTCACAGTGTGCGGCCAGAGCTCAGAAAGGAGGCCGGCCTGAGAGGGGCCTCGCCCTGGCCTGTGCTCCAGCTCCAGGGATAAAGAGAGGGAGGAGATGGGGAGGAGGAAGGAAGAGGGAAGGTAGGAGCCGAGAATCCCTGGAGTCCTGGGGGCCCTCTCACACCCGCAGCCTCTGCCCATCCCACCTGTCCTCCTCTGGCCTGGGGAAAGCACAAGGAACCAAGCCCGCAGCCATCGCTGTGAGGCGCAGGGTCAGCGGGATGAAGGGCTGGCCTGGCCGGGGACGATGGCCCCAGGGCGTAAGCAGGAGCGAGCGTGCCCGAAGCTGGGCGGGGGTCGAGGGAAGGGCTCCCCTGGTGAGTCCCGCTGGGAAGCAGGGATGCAAACGGGCAGCTTGCGGTCAGGGGGCGGGGAGCGAGGACATGGGCGGGCCAGAGGTCAGGAGTCAGGGTTCCAAGAGCAAGGACGCGGGCGCGCCAGGGGGTCAAGGGTCGGGGTTCGGAGAGCGAGGACGCGCGAGGGCCAGGGGTCAAGGGTTGGGGTTCAGGGAGCAAAGACGCCGCGCGGTAGGCCATTGAGCAGAGACGAGCACAAAGCTTCCCGCGAAACTGACGTCGGCGCGCGCCGGCGGCGCAGGCACCGCCCCTTGGCTTCGCCCCACCCCCGCGCTCGCCTGGCTCCTCAGCGCGCCGGCGCACCTTCTCCTCTCCCATTGGCTACCTCTCATCGGCGCCCGCCGGCTGGCCCGGTGCGCGGCGCTCGATTGGCTGCCGGCCGCGGGCCG